GAATGGTTAGAGCGCAAAGCGCGGTTTGTTTCGACGCCTAGCTTGGAACTCCCTAAAGGGCTCCGTAAAGAGTGGACGATCGGGGCCCTTCGCGGCACAGATAAGTGCTCCATGGAGCGATATAGTAAGTTACTCCACTACTTCTAGTGTTGACTCTGCCTGCCGCTAGACGCCGCTGCTGTGAAAAAAGTTACATTTCGAGATTCGTGCTATTATTTTGTCCAGAAAAGTGTTGATTAATAAACGTGGTGTAATATCATTTGTAGAAACATTGGAACCACTTACATTATTCGTTGTTACATCATTCATCTCTTCGAAGCGGCAGCCTCAGCCCCACGGACACCGCCGTTTGGATGGGGCATGGAGGTAAGAAGCTTCTGGGGGCGACATGACGCTATGGAGAGGAACACGCTTCCGACGATGACCACAACCAAGAGATGCAATTAAACAAAAAGAGGTTGGCGCCAAGCCAGCTCTCTTTTTTGTCCAATAACGTCTCTTGGTTTTGGTCATCGTCGGGGGTGTTTCAATCTCCACGCCGTCCAGAAGCTTTCAACCTCCATGGGATGGGCGCACGTTGGGGCGCTGGGTCGCGTCTTCCCGTGACATTTTGGCATCGTTGTTCCTGAACTTAAAATTTGTAAATAATACATTTTTTTTTCAGCGGTAAGGTTGTTTTATTTGCTGGTTGCCTGAGTTGCCGTGAAGAGACATATATCGCTCCTACATCGGTGTTTCCATGTACCATGTGCGCGCACTTACAAGTCAAGTTACGGGCAATAGTGCTTTAGCACAGAGTAATTTTCTATTACTCAATAGTTTTCGCGTATGACAAGCGCGCTAGCAATACCACCCATGACCACCCATGACCACCCACCTTTCCGCCGTGCTTTGCATCGGTGCGATGGGCGCTCGTTGCATCGTTTGCATGCATAAGGAGCCGCAGGTGGTGCAGGGCCGACGCGTTGGCCGAGAACGGCGGAACGCTGAGCTTTAACCAGCAACGGTGCTCGGTCGTGGTGATATAAAACACTTTATTATGCGCCAAGATACTGAGGAACATGAGAAGACGAGAGCTAGCTGCTTTAAACGCCGGACGCCATCGTTCCGCGTTCTTATGTGTCTTGATGAAAACATTTCAACCTACCACCACCAAATGATCATATAAAACTGCGAAAGCTTCCTCCTGCATCGGCATGCAGGTGTTTGTAGCTACAGTCTGCCTGTATGTAGTTTTGCCTACAATAAACTATTTTTGGAAAACTTTTTGTTGCCGTTATTTCATTCTAACGAAGAAATGTGGCTGCGCTAAAAGGATGTCATTTACCATAAATGGTTACTTAAAAATATTTGAAAAGTAAACGTGTGAGTCTCTACAAAAATTAAAGAGAAGCTCTCAAGCGAAGCCAAGCGAATGCTGAAACTAACATTAATCGAAACCGAAACTAATTTAGCGCATCTGCCAACTGCTGGATGTCTTCCCTGTCCTTCCAATAGCTATGTTCGATTTACTTCAACCGGTGCAGAAAAGTGCAAAGCAGTGTACTTTCGATCCTATTTCAATACACATACCGGAAGTACAACACACTACACCTTTCTGCAACGGTGTAGGAGGTGTAAATAAATCGACCAAAGAGTAGACACTCCCAGAGACCCCAGCGGCCCAGATCAAAATTGATCTGGGCCGCTGGGGCCTATGGGAGTGTCTAAGTTTACTATATTCCTCCATGCTGGAACCCTGTCGTCGGTTAGCAGGCCATATTCCTAAATTTTTGTCAGTTGTTACTTGTTTTAGACGCTTCGTTCGCCTCCGTATCTGTTCTGGTGGCGCTTCGTTGCCATAGTCGTGACGGCGGTCACATCTGACGCGTACTTCATCGCATGGAAGGAAGCAGTGGTATGGCTGACAAGGTGCCTTCCTGCCTCTTTTCTCCTGCTTTTCGATGGGCGTCACCTGAACACAAATAGTCCCAAATAAGGACTTAACGCTGATGGCTGATGTTCTTCGGCCAATAATATTTCAAGATTGTTTTACAAAACGTATGCGGTTTTTAATTACCCAGTGGCCGTTTTTTTCTCTCTGGAGCATGGGTTTAAAGTTTCAAGGTGCGGAATTGACTTGGAATAATCGGAGAATTGTCCAAGCGTAATAAGATTACACTCTATGTAATGGAAGCTAACTCCTTTCTCTCTCTCTTGTTCGTTTTTTCCGTTTCTTGACGCTTTTGAAGTCTAATACAAGCTTCTAAAAATAAATAAGAAGTTTCTTAATGTAAAAATATAGCGAATGTGAGCATTTTGCTTTTATATTGTGGCGAACGTTTCAAAGTGGCAAGGACCGAAAATCGAGAAATATGCTGAGCCCATAACGATGATCCTTCCAATCTTGTCAGCAACTTCTCCATTCTCTAGTCTTTCCAACTTGATGTCCAATTTTTTTTTATCCAGTATCGTCGCCAGTTTTATTGACAATCGTGTATTTCAATCCCTCCCATGTCCAATACTTTTTTTCATTATTATTATTATTTGTCCTTTTCGAGAAAAACGACCTTCCCTTTCCTCGGCATTCCTTTTCTTTTTTGTTTTTCCTTCGTAGAGGCTACCCCGGCGAAAATCTGAACAACATTCTGTTTGTTGGCCGTTTGTTTCTTGTGTCCTCCGCCTTGTATGAACCTCACCAGCAATGCTCGTTCATACCGTCTCCTCCGGTTTGGCGCTTGCCAGCTTTTATTCCCCCCCCCCCCCCTCCTTTCCCCTTTCTTGGACAGTGGCGGATACGTTCAAACGACGTGGACATCAGAAGAAAAGGAGCTCCCCAAATCTACGCCCCCCCCCCCTTTTTTTCCCCCTTCATATAGGGCCAAAGTAAAAAAATAAATAAAAAATAAAACGTAATAACCTTAAAAATACGAAAAATATAAAGTATATAAGAAGAAATGAACGGCGCTTCCTTTGAGCAGAAGGGCCACGGGATTGAATCGCGTTGTCACGTCGTAGCCTTTTATAAAGTTGGGGAACGAAAGTGAACCCGCACTTTCGTATAAATAGCAATTGTATAAAAGTAGATGTAGCCAATGTTATAAACTGAGAACGTCCAGTATCCGAAAAAATAAAAGTAAGGAAAGACGAGTCGCATCTTTTATCGTGCGCTTTGGACGGAGCAAAGAGACGAACGAATCCGCGGCTTACACCATCCTGGAATGCATTTCGGCGCCTCGAAAAATAAATAAAATAAATATTAAGTAGAGTAAAAAATGTAAGAATAAAATGGGCAGAACTTAACAAAGGAGGGGAGCTGTTGTCTGCGAAGCGTCAACGAGAGAGACGCTACAACAACAAGGACATCAACATCATAAACGAGAGCGACAACTAAGAAAACACGACCACCGCTATAGGAACATAGATGTGGCGCCGAAATTTGAAAATACAAAAGAACTGAGCAACGAAGAACTAAACGCAGAAATGCGATGTCCAGGGGTGTCGGGGAGAACAGGATATCCGGGTTCTGTGTGGTTGACTTGTTTTATTCTTTTTTTTTGGCAACGCTTGCCGTCGCTTTTGTCGTGGCTAAGAAAAATGGTTTCGGACCGAAATGCGCCTCGCACCACGAAACGTTCGCGCTGCGACAGGAAGGACGACGTCTGTGGGGGCCCACGTTTGTCTGAACAAGCTTATTGCAGGGCGGACAGAGAGCGTCATCTGCCGGGAATGAAAGGGATGTGTAGACGGTCAAAACAAAAACAAAAGAAATTCATACATAGACATTGCCAATTTTGAAGAATTGATGGCTGAAAATAGAGGATCTAACTACTACGCCGAAGACGACAGCAAATGTTAAGCTATACGAAACTTACGGAGTCGCTGTGAAAGTAGAAAACTGAGGGACGACTTTTGGTGTATATACCGGCCGACTTCCGCGGAACTGCCCTTGTGACGGAAACAGCGACTGAGATCTTGGAGGGGTAACAAGCAAGCACCCACTTAAGAAAACAAGCAAGCAAGCAAGAAAGGAATCAAGATAATAGGAGAGAAGGAAAGGCGAGGGATGAGAAATATTGCGAGCTGGAGAGGACGACAGAAGCCCCGTCACTCTCTCCTTCTCTCCCCCATGTTCGCCCTCTCCCTTTCGACCAAACGCTCGCGCATGCGTAGTCGAGGCAAGTGGAGCAGCGCGCGGTCGAAATCTCGAGCACCGGTTTAGTGTTGGGGAGATCTTCGGTGCGGTCGCGGTCGCGGGAAAAAAGCTTCCTACGCGATATGTGGCGATTCTTTACCCGAAAGAGCGACGGCGAACGTCCCAGGTAGCGTGACTCGGCGATTTGTGCTATTCGTCGCGCGTGAACTAGATGCGTCGGCTTCGACTGAGACCTCTGGATCTTGTTGGAAGACTTTGGTAGACTGTTTGGTTGGAAGGAAAGAAGAAGCCGAACCACGTGTTATTTTGTGTTCGGCTGTTGCATACGTGGTGCGTGTGAGATTTTTAACGGTGCCTCTTCTCGTGCAAGCCTGCTGATTTCGAAGTTCGTGCATGTGTGAAAAGTCCACGCTGGTCGCGTGCGCGCTTTCGGTGTCTTCAATTCTCGGCAGTGCGCAAGAGAAAAGGGACAAAGTTGTGACACTTCAAGTATTCGTGCAACTAAACAACTTTGGTCAGGTAGATTGTCATCAATGACCGAGGAAGTCAGCGCTGTTCGAAGGCAGCGCCTCAACGTGATGTAACGATCGCAAGCACTTCGTGTACTTTCATCCTACAGTCTTCTGTCTTCGCAACCATCTTCCTCTTAGTATGACAACTATTGTCATTAGGCAATACTGCGTTAAATGTTAGACTTCAGAGTTTACTAAAACATACGAGTGGTCTCCTTCAGTGAAATACGGGTTGGAATATTCCCCGTTGCATTGCCATCTCAGTGTTCGTCAAACCGAGTTCCACCTGTGTCGTGATGAGTGTGCCGTGAACGAAAACGGGGAAAGAAAACACCAGAAGTGGCATCATGCGGCTTGCTGTGCGCCATGGGCCTTGGACAACGCCGCGATTCGCTTCGTGGCTAGACAGCTTCTGGGTCTTGATCATCCTATCTTCGTTGTACAGTGATGTTGACGGGAGCTTTGGTAAGTGTTACGACGTGTCTAAATGATTCCTACTGTTTTTCGTAATCGAAGCTGAGCCCGGTTTGGGCTGCATGTGTCTACACGCAGGGTGTCTATTCTTAGGTAGAGTAATCCGTCCGGTCTTGTTTGGGCTGGTGCAGTGGTTCCTAAACTTAACGCTACTATTCGGTTTTCGCAAACTTGAGTTGTTGCAGGTAGCTTACATCATACACCGGACCAGCTTATGCTTTGTGTAGGTTTAGATAGCAGCAAGTTATTTAGTCCACATAGACGTCTAGTGTCGCCGCTGTAGATGACTCATTTAGCCAGTGCAGTAGCTCTGCTAGCGTGGGGTCTTTAGCGTGCATCCCGCAGTAGTGATACACGTCCGCACGCCGGTACGATGCTCATTTAGATCAACACAGGCTGGGGTGGGGATTGAATCAAGGATCCCTGGGTTCTGCAGCGCTCGTTTTCGTTCCACGTTCTCCGAGCTACGGTACGCTATCAAACTCGGCCACTGATCTCGCACCGCACCAGCCGAAACTCCTCTCCCAGGCGGAGTGTTAATCGGAGATTTAAGGCCTGTTCACACATGCAGCGGAGTGCTACAAGCATAGCGCTGACCTCGCGCTAAGCGCGTGCTGACGGGAGCGTTCACCAGCTCTGTATTGCACCGCCAAAATTGTAGCTCATGGCAGGCGATAAGGAGCTGACGACACGCGAGGAGCGCTACATCAGCGCTTCGCTGCATGTGAGAAACGGCCTTTAGAGTGACACTAGGTAGTACATTTCGTCGCGGAAGGAATAATCGGGAGTTTTAGTGAACCGCGTTTGCCCATCCGGTACGGTTCGATGGGCCCTCCGGTACGAACTGCGTATATGGGAGTCTTCTGCTTTAACGCATGCGCAGTGCGTACCGGAGGGCCCATCCTACCTTATCGGATGTGCAAAAACGGTTCCCTGAAACTCTCTAATGCTGGGGGTGCCTAAACGAGTCATCTCGTTATTACGTTAAGTTTGGGGAGGGTATGTTCGCAGTCTTGTATATGTTACGCAAAAAAAATAGTAATTGATTAAATTTAAAAAAAAATCACGCTTAAAAGTTTTTTTAAATTACATTACTTGTTTACAAGAGAAGAAAAAGTAATTGGCCGTTACTGAAGACTGACCGTTAGTTTTACGATTTTTAGAATGACCGATTTTTTCTTTTGTCGTTTCGAAAACGGTTTTTTTTTGTACGGTTCATTATTGGAGTAGGACGACCAAATTATAAACTATTTATATTCTTAATCCGCCATTTTTGGTAAACCATCCTTCTGTTAGAGACTGTGGAGGATTCCTTGTAAGGAAACTTGTAAAAACGAAGGGCACCATTAAAAAGTGTAGGAAAAATAGTAAACGTTGCAAGTAATTTTAGCAGTTCCTAATGAATGTATTAAAATAGTTACAAAATTACTTTAAAAGGTAACGGATGGCAAGTCATTTGATTACTTGTAGTGAGTACCATTCAAGTTCATTTTACGTGCTATTTACACGAAGGTTGCAGGTGTAGAGACTTCGCTTACACCTCAAACCCCTCTAAATATAACGAGACATAGCGACGATACGGTAGTTAACTCGAAACGCTCTACGGTTGCGAGCCCAGAATTCAATTCGGAGTTCGAGAGTGGCAGGTCATTTCGGTCTTCTCTCCGTAACGAGAACGTGAAAACATACTCTGTGCCACGCCACCTGGGCCGGAATTTAACTTAAACGCGCTAGATACCCACGCGACGCCGTAATCACTACAGCGTAATGCGAGTTTCGAGCCAAGTTTACGAGTCGTACCGAACTGGCACAATGCACTTTCCACGACGTAGATCCCGGAGTCGCCATTCGTAGCTTTCCATCACGTAAACTTACAGAATGGAAAGGGACCAGGTCCGGCTTTCTGGAAACAAGCTTAGCTAAAGCTACGTAAAAGAAAGCACTTTCCAAGCTGTCTTAGGAGCAGAGTGCCACGTATACACACTGAAGATATTCTCGAATGTATGGCCGTGGGACCTTGGCGGCCAAATTATTACGATCGCTTTGCCCCTCAAAAAAATACAAAAAGCCACTTTTTTTTTTGCTTCAAAAGCAACCATTCGTCACCCAAGTTTGATCGCATCGGGGTAGTTGATTGAAGCGTGCAGTCGACACCCTACTCGAAGTTTTTTTGAAGATTGTCCTTTGGTTGGACGAGAAACTTGGAAGGAGTGGCCGACAAAAATATTCACTTTCGGCGATGTTTTTTTGACGTACTAAACGGCGCAGTATACTGTTATCGCGAACAAGCGATACTCGGCTTCTTTGTTGTTGTTTTTTTGTCTTAGAAGCGAAACGTTTTTGTTTAAACTACTAGCGTGGTGGGACGCCGTCATCTAGGCCCCTAAGCTAAGCGGCACATTTTGGAGCCCGCCAAAGCTTTTCCCATGTTAAAATGCGAATACGTTTTAATGTCTTATGCGAGCCAACGCCGCGCTGTGTACAATGGCTCCGCACAGTTAGCACAAATAAGAGAATGTTGGTATATTGCTTTTCTTTCTTGCACATCCTTAAAAGTTTGGGCCCCACCGCTAATACGCAATATAAGAGACCGTCTAAAGACACTTTCGGAGGAGCGTTTCTTCATTGTGTGACAGGTCCCGTCAGATAGGTCATACAAACAAATGTCTGAACACATATTCCAGGCGTACAGATATAGTACGAAGCAAACATGCTCGGAAGATATCTGAGGTTTGTCCGCGGACAATTGTGTCATAATGTCCGCGGAGAAACTCCGTGTGTCTTTTGTACGATGTAGGAGCGGTAGAACTGAGGCATAAAGGTTTCACCGCTCAATTTTCAGCACGCAAATTCCTTAATAAAGTATGAAAAAAAAACATATCCCGCGTTGCGCAAGGTACATTAGGCAGCAAATTTATGGTTGTGCCTCGTTAATACAGACCTTGTTAATACGAATACTCCGCAAATAGATAAGATTATCTGGGAAAAACTGGGTAAACAGAAATTTTCTTTCTGCTTATGGATAGCTCACAGTAAGGACATTTCCGGGTTTTTTTTCGGTTTTTTTTTTGGGGGGGGGGGGGGGAACGGAGGTGTTCATGTTAACTAGACATTAAGGTATACTCATATTGCACAACTACCTCAAACGCCCTTGAAACTTGGTAACATTCGCGCCACAGGAGGACTACACACATTTCATTCACTCCAGATGGCATTTATATATGCCCGACGAAGTTCGAGAAACTCCTTCCGCTCATCAGACACCTTCTAGCGTGCGCAAACTGCACACGTGACCGAAAAGAAAACAAAAAAAAAACACGTGCATAGCTTTCTAGCAGAAAGGTTTTTCGTGTCCATTATCCTTTTAGGACATAAACTCGTGGCATGGCCGCGCGAAACTCGACGTTACGGGTATGGTGCAGCTAAGACGGCGTCGACGATGTCAGACCGGCAGAAGCCGAGAGTCTCATTTCGCAGTGTCGAAGCGGAACGTGCACTACAGAACAAAACGGTGCCTCGGGCCGGAAAGGGAAAATCCCCTGGGACGCGGGCGCTTCCTGTTTATATTGCTGACGTAGGAAAGCTGTCCTATTTTCCTATTTCATTAGGCTCCTTCGGCATCGAGCTCCGAGAAACGAGCCACTCGTCTTTTTACACCGATGGCCGTTATAGGCGAGGTATCGCTGTGGATTTCGTGTGCGCTTCGCGCACGGCCGTGACGTCATCTGACGTCACGTCACGTGATACTGCGACCTCACTGAAAATGCTTATCGCTGTACTTATTGCAGAAATCGCAACGTCGAATGACGTCACATCAAGTAACTCTGATAAGTCGCGGGAAGCTCTTCCTGCCCAATATACCAAAGAAATTGAGACGTCGTAAGAATGTGAGCGTAAGTAACACCGCTACGCCATATGGCGCTAAATGTTCGTTATATATTAGCATAAAAGTTTCCCCGCCAAATTTAGCGAGGAAATTTTTTTGCTAAAAATGACAGTGGCAAAAATTTTGAAAATTCCTCCGCTAAATTTTTTCGGAAAGTTTAGAGGTACGTGAGGCAACAATGTCTCGTGACACTGTGACGTCACGTTATCACGTCACGTGGCGCTAACCGTCACATAACGTCACGAGGTCAGTGACGTCACAATGTCGCAACGATGCTGTGCGCTTAAATTAGCGGGACATAAATCCGCGAAATTAAAAGTGAGTAGTGCATTCTGTTGCAGCGTCGCCGTTCATTTCCAGTTCATGGTAAAGAATCTGAAATCATTGCAATGCCTCGTCACTGGTAACTCGTAAAAAAAATATTATTTATTTTTTCTTTACTCATCAAACGCTCGCAGCGCCTGTAAAGACATTTTGTTTTGCGGGGGGCACAATGCTTTATTAAAAATAAGATCCTCAGTCTCGCGGCATCATGTCAGCAGGTAGCGAGTTCCGTTTTATGACGGTCCGCGCAACGAAGAATATTTAAGGATATTTTACATGGAGAGATGTTTCTGAACCTTGCAACGACGCTCTAACCTAGAGGAATGCTACTGTGATGAGTGCAGATACGATGCAACATGAATTCCTCCTTGGTTACGATAAATTTATTCAAACGCTTTAAGCTGGGGATTTTTTACGCCGCTCGCTTAAAGGTATCGTTAACACAAAATGAATTAAAATGTTGCTCCGTCTAACGCGCACTTCTATACCTTTTTATTCGCAAATTATTGCAACGCCCATCACTTGCAGGAACTCTTTGAACCTCGAATACCTTCTGAGCAAACGTCGTTTGAAATTCCCGTAAGCAGGGTTACCGCCGAATTCAGAAACCTCACTCAAACTACACTCAAACTGAAGGGCCCCTCCACTTCCTCGAGGAAGGCGCGAGGGCCGGCGCTGGCCAATCGCGAGGACGGATCTGCCGTCGCGATAGGCCAGCGCCGGCCCTCGCGCCTTCCTCGAGAAAGTGGAGGGGCCCTTAAGTTTGAGTGTAGTTCGAGTG